GCTTGGTAGCATGCTGTAGAGATAGTAGCAAACAGAAGAGGTGAAGAGGAGGTTTGTGGGACTTGGTGTACAAATTCTGGACTGGAGAAGAGCAGAAAGCCTCTGTGCAGAGCCGAACCCCATATGGTGAATGGGGTCCAGCATCTTCAAGGCCGAGGCCCTGGCAGAACCACAGACCAGAGACCCATAGTCCAGTTTGGATCAAACGAGGGCATGATAGATCTTGAACATAGAACAATGGTCTGCTCCACAAGAAGTGGAAGAGAGGACATGGAGGATGTTCAGTGCCCTTGTACATTTGACACATAGCTGCTTTATGTGAGGAATGAAAGTAAGCTTATGGTCAAAGAACTTTGCCTCAGGAATCACAAGAAGAATAACATCACTGAGACAGAGCTCGAGATTGGAGTGTAGGCCCTGCTGGTAGTAAAAAGCATGCAAACAATTATAGAAAAAGAAAAAGTAAAACCATATGTTGTAGTCCACTTCAACAAGCGATTAAGAGCAGTCTGAAGCTGTCATTCAATGAACCTTATGTTCAAAAACCCGCACGAGATGTGGAAGTCAACAACATAGAGCACGTTTGCAACAGTAGGAGGAAGTTGTATAGTAATAGCATTAATCTTGATAATGATAAAGTGTGACACTCAAGACACAGCCCTGAGAAACTCCAACTTCCTGTGTAAAAGAACGGGGAAGAGTTGAACCCACGTGGACTTGGAATCTCCTGTCCAGTAAAAATTTCTGAATAAAAATAGGTAAATGGCCACACAACCCATATGAGTGGCGGTCCCACAAAATGCCATACCTCCACATAATGTTGTAAGTCTTCTCAAGGTCAAAGAACATGGAAACAAGATGTTCTCTCTTGAGGAAGGCTTCCCTGATCGAGGTTTCAAGTGAAATCATCAGGTGGTTCCATGGTGGAGCACTTTTGACACTGATTCAATGAACCAAACAAGATGAGCATTAACCATTCTCTCTAAGACCTAACAGAGACAGCTAGTCAAAGCAATTGCACAATAATTAGAAGGAATCTTGGGATTCTTCCCAGGCTTAGGGAAAGGAAAGACAATAGCCTGGCACCAAGCATCAGGAAAAACATTCTCCTGCCAGATCCAGTTAAAAACAACCAGAAGAACAGAAAGAGAGGCAGTGAACATCATCATAGAAAGGAAACCTCGACAGTTCCACTGTATCAAAGTGGTTATCTTTTACTTTGGTGGAGAAGAACTGGGCAGAGAACCCTTCTGTTTACAACCATGCAATTTTTCTTTACTAGAAGGAGACCTGTCAACCTCCATGGATCCTGCCCTTGGTTGAGTGATTGAGGGTATGAATGAAAAATATTTCTGCATCTCGATGCTGAAGAAGATGGACCCGAGCAAAGGAGGTGGACCTGGGCAGTTACTGGAAGGAATGGTGGGGACAGAGATGGGAGATGACATTGACTTCTCAACTCAGTTATCCATTGAGGGCAAAAATATTCTTCACATGATGCGAAAAAGACTCTGACAGAAGTATGCTGAAGAAGATGGACCCGAGCAAAGGAGGTGGACCTGGGCAGTTACTGGAAGGAATGGTGGGGACAGAGATAGGAGATGACATTGACTTCTCAACTCAGTTATCCATTGAGGGCAAAAATATTCTTCACATGATGCGAAAAAGACTCTGACAGAGGTATGGAAAGGTCTGTCTGCACACCCACTGTAAGGGTGGAACCAAATGCTGCTGCATATGTCCATGATAGAGTCAGGGACGACAAGTTTAGAGCCTCCAGATGTTGTTAACCATTTTTAAATGCTGTACCTCTTCCACCCACTTAGGGAAAGATCTATAGTAAGAGGAAAGGAACCACTGCAATTAACAGAGTGAGGGTCCAGTTCGCACTTGTAAGTATTCTGGTCTTTGACAACACAATGAGCACATGTCACAGAACCACAACAAGATGCCTTCAAATGACCAAGCCGCTGACACTGGAAACATCTGAGAGGGTTGGGAATATATATGGCCATATCTAACAGTTCAAATAATCTGCCTTCACAGCGGCAGGTGGTCATGGTGATTTAAACATCAAAATAACAACATTGGTAGACAGCATAATTCCCTCTTTACAAGTGGAGATACATCACACTGTAGAAACTCCTTGCTGGAGAAACCAGCGAGGATCTCAGACTTAGGATGTTCTTCATATTCCTCTCAACAATAACTCTTTGTGAGGAACTCAAAGTAGCATGGGGAGTAACCTCAATGGGTATATCCCCAATGGCCTTTGAGTTCATGAGAAGTTCACTGTGTTTTGATGTAGATATTTCCATCAAGATGTCCCCAGAATGTAGCTTCTTAACTGTCTTTGGAGATACAGCAAGCCCCTTTAATCCCTTCTGAATAAAAAAAGGGAAACATTTCCCCTAAAGGTTTGTCTGACAAGGAATGTAAGATCAAAAAACAAGGTACAGGTTCAGAGTGGGTTGAAGATTGCTGGTCAGAGTCTTCAAGATGTGGTCATTTACCAATTAGCTGTTTTTTTTCCTATTATATTTTTTTAGGATTTGGAGGATCCATAATATAAGAAGAAAGATTCAGTGGCCACTGACCCCAACCACCATGAGGTACTATGAGGGGAAGCACTACAATGCCCAACAAGGACACTGCAGCAACACCAGGGCTTCATGAGCACTATACCCAAACACCAACATCAGACACAATGTCCACAACACCTGTTGAGAATGCCCAACACTGGTACTCAGTTCACCCTAGCCCAACAGGACCAGCCATTTGACCCTGAGGGGGCCACCTATCTACAAGAATTCAAGGCCAGTGTAGGGTTAAGTGTCGTCAATAGTTGACAGCAAAAAAAAAAATAATAATAATTTGTAAGTACTTTATTTCTTGTTTTTGATGTTTATTCTTTATTTATTTATTATTATAAAAATAACTAAAAGGTAAAAATAGGAATCTCTAGGTTAGTTAATGTTAGATTATGTAAAATAAGTAATAATAATAATAATATAATAAAAATATTTTATGAGGTACACACATAACAGCTAGGAATAGCTCATGGGTAAGGTAATTCAATAGCATGAGCTGCAGATTTCCCAAGTGATTTACAACTTATATTGGCACAAATAGTAGTTAGACATTGTTCAAAGGGCAATCACAAAAACAATAAAATTTAATTACAAAGAAATGTATACCATTACAAGTTTAAAGCTACTTAAGATAAACAAATGTAGTTTCATGTTATATTTTAAGTCATTCTAGAAAGAAAAAGGGTAATTCAAATTTATTTCAATTTTTTTGGTGGTTACAGGATTGGTCAAATTGACCAACCGCATACAGAGTTAGGGTAGAGAAAATAACAGATAAAATATTAAGTTGTACTGAAAACAAACATTTAAATGTATTTAGGAGGTTTAAGAGATTACACAAATGAAATTGAGATTTTTGAGATGAAAAAAAGTATTTTTAATCTTAACATGAAAATCACTTTTGACTATTCAAAACAAATACTTGATATATGCAAAGACAAATATTTTAGTTTATTTAAAATACTTCACAAAAAATATGATGGTCAAATTGGCCAAGCCTGTGTTGAGAGAGTTAAAGGACACTACTTTAAAGAGGGACAAAAATAGATGACATTTGCAGTGATGTACAGATTTTTTTCCTTCTTTATTTTGATTATTAAAGGACACTACTTTAAAGGAGAACAAAAGTTAATATATGATCAGCACAAGTTGTTGCAATGGTACAAAAAATGAAGGGGTATAATAGATTGGTGTGCTGTTGAAAATTTAAGCAATGCTTAGAGAGCAAATCAAGGTTGAGATAACTTTGGGTGAGAGAAGGTAGTCCCATGTCAGAGTTACTGTTGTACCATGCTTTAGAGAGTAATTAAAGATCATATATGAAATAAAAATCATTTAAGTGGTCTGAAAAAAATTAAATGGTCTGACTAGTGTTTTTTGTCATTTTTTTCATGAAATATGAGTTCACAACAAAATAAATTGAGATATGTTGATATTTTTAGTTTCAATTTACACAACATCTGCTATTTAATTCAATGATTTTTCTGATAACCTCCACTATAAGTACATTTTACAATGAGCTATTGGATTGGCCCCTAAAACTGTTTGCAAGCCCCTAAAAATGCATGTTTTGGGGATCTGGTTGGCTCCCTAAAAAAATAATTAAGCGTGATATATTCTGAAGATGATATGGCAAGAAAACAAAAGTTTAGAATTTAAAAACAGGAGTTACGCTTTGGTAAACCAGTTTAATTTTCTAACAAGGTCATTGGTTTACATAATTAGTTGCCTTTGGTATTAGCAGAAACTAGATTTTACAGATAGGAATTGAAGCTTTCTCAAGGATAGGTGTGCAAGAATAGCCTTGAAGGTTTAAATAGGCCCTTTTTATTTATATATATTTACTAAACTGTCAATATCATATGCTCTGTACTTTAGCACCTAGTGAGTAAGTTCCAGTTCTAATGTTTCTGAGCTCCATACTAAAAATAACATTATTAGTATACTTTATTATATTATTATTTATTCTTTGGGTAAAAGAAAAAATAACCTAAGTTAGCAGAGAACAGGAACAAAACAACAAGAAAAATACAGCTTCTTTAGTTATTCTTTTCCAGTTATGTTTACTATGCAAAAAACTTAAAATTTTAAAATGTGTGAAACTAGAAAGCACTTTCACTTACTGTTATTTGAAGATGTTAAAAATAAACAAGAAAGCCTATGTAAACATACATTCACTGTGGTAAGTAAAAGACAACAAAAAATACTATATATACATCGTTATTTGAAAAAGATATTAAGGTCAGTGATTTCAAATAAAATAAACAGATAAATTTTGTCTATTATTACCACAATTTCTTCTCAGCCCTCATTTCATATTTAATGATACAAGGCAACATTTTTTGTGTCAACCCCAGATAAAAAATATTTTTGAAAACATGTCATTATATTTAAAATCATTTAACGTACCTTTGGAAGTTCACACGATATCGATTCTGAAACAACTGGGGGAACTACAGGTGGCTGCTTAAAGAAGATGTAGGCCTGAATGAGAAGAGTTCCAAGTACACCGATTAACACGCATACTATAGCTAGTAGTAACAATAGCATTTTTATTTCCAAAGAAGTTTCATTAACAGGTTTTTTTGGTTATCTCAGAAGAATCATTTTTCTGTAAACGAGAAAAAAATTAACATTATTAATTTATTGTATATTTAAGTAACATATATGTTTAACAACAAAAGTCATCTTTTTTCAACCTCTTTCTAAGAAAGTATTTCTTTTAGCTATATGAATGTACAGATCATTAAAAATTAGATTACTAATACCAACAGAAAACTTCATGAAAAATCTCAGTTCAATAAAACAAAATTTCTTTTCTTCGAAAGTGGATGTAAATAATAATTACATACCTAGCAAGATTACTAACCTAAAGTTATAATTTTCCTACACTGAAAATACATTTCCAATACTTATTTACCTCACACAAACAGCTATTCTCTTTCAGTACTGTCCTCAGTACACACAAAAAATTTTTTTTTCACATATGCCACAAGCTTTTTATCTCCCCTTCATTGGAATTGACTGATTTCAATGAGTCCCTCATGCAAGTCATTATGCCTCAACCCTCCACCAATAAGAGTGCGACATATTCTCATGACACATGTGACTCCCTCTACTCAATTCTACCTATCACTTCAAGTTTCGGCAGAAGATGGAAGCATCAGTTTTCAGTGGGGAGGAAGGGTGGGAAGTGTGAACAGAGGTAAGTACCTATCGGATATACATTTTCAGTATAGGAAAATTATAACTTCTGATACAGTACATTACCTCCGCTCAAATAAATAGCACACTGAATAGGTGGAGGGATGGTGCAAGGAAAAGAAAGAAAAATCTTTGAAAGTTTCCAAAAGACAATCAAGATAAGAAAGTTAGATTTTGAGATCTGATGTGGGGAACTGCACCACTTCTGAACCAGGTATACTATTTGCCCATTGTAGAAAGATGTCACATACATGGGTGGAAAACAGAAAAGCACAACCAAGTGAGAGAGAAATTGTTCTGAACCATGCAATATTTATGAAACTCAATCCCAGAAATTACAAAATTGGAAAGGATGTGACCCTAGGTGTATAGTGGCTAGGGCACAATGGACCGTACAAGGCAAGTCAACAACATCCAAAACCCATGTCACTGGGAACCAACATCCACGTGAGGTAGGATGAGGATCATACCATCAGTAAATGAACTACAATGCAAAACCCAGCCACCTGTTACAGACACCATATGGGGGTATGAAAGACGATCATAGTGGTGACAAGTCAACTACAATCAAAAACCCAGGCCACCGAGAACCAACATCCATGTGGGGGTAGGAAAGAGGTTCATATTGGTGGCAAGTCAACTACAACCAAAAACCCAGCCATCTGGCAGGGGTAGGAAAGAGGATAATACCGTCTCCACCTCAAGTTCATGAGACTGGTGGGAATCTAGTACTCCCCGACTCATGAATGGGACACATGTAAGTATAATAAACTGATAGATCGATCCAGGAACCCAACATCCAGCATTGAAAAGATGTCTATATAATGTAAACCATCTCCCTCAAAAATGAAATTCACCACCCAAAGCACATTAACATCCTCAAAACAAAAAACATTGAGGTATAGGAGAAGGGAAAGAACCATAATATGTGCACTTACCTCCATTGTGACCCACAACACTGATGGAGTATAAATGAGGGTGGAATATAGACAACTGTAATACATGTGTGAGGACTTATGTTGATTTATTCTACTCTAAATCCAAAACCCAGCCACTGGGAACAAACATCCATGTAGGGGTAGGATACAGAATTCCAATCGAAGGGGTGAACTGCAATTTTGACATCTCACTCCCATTTGTCTTTATGTTTCATATTGGAGGATATCACATCATCTTCATCAGCAGAACACCACTGCCCTACTTTCATTGTATATTCTGTTTGTAATTCATTAACCCATTCAGTGACATGGAACTGAAAAGTGGTAAGAACTCTCAAACTCCACTAGAAGAAAAGGGGGATAAAATGCGGTGAAGAGTCCAGAGAAATGACAACACCTAAGACAGTGCAATGGGTGACCAAGAAACCCAATTTTAAAAAGCGGTCTATACCAATTTATTCAAAGCATGGCAAAGATGGGCAGCTATCCCCTTCTGCTTTACCCATGTAGTCCATGTGTGAAAGGATAAACCTACAAGCATTCTTGTGGGACACCCCATCTCTGCAGTGTGCATTGCGTGGCCATGGAATTATAATATGCAAATCAACATGGCTTGACAGTGCGAATTTTAATACATAAAGAATACCTGGTCAGGCACCACTCGGCACAGTGTAGGATCCAAACAATGAACATTAATAAAAGGGAAAAGGGCCCCTGAAAAGGAAAAAGAAGAAAAAATAACTTACCCAGTCAGAGTCTCATTTAATTCAGATATTCTAGAATGGCTACAGGCCAAATATGATAACCCAAAGAGGACGAAAACTGCAATCTGATGCAAATAGTGAGAGATAAACGTGTCATGGGTAGTCCACATGCCCGACTGAAGAAGTACCTCCCAAGGAAGACGAAGATGAAATGTTAATGGAAAGGTAAGGTGTCAAATTGGGTAAGAAGACACTCGGAACAAATTATGGGAGGAAGACGAGGAAGAGCAAGAAGCCAATCAAATGAAGAACCGAACCAATTCACTAAGGAGGAAGGAAATCGAACATGAGACAATTTCCAAGGGAGAAAGAGGTGGGAACAGACACTACAGAAGGTGACATATAGAGAAAAGCACATACAGGACATAGAAGTCTCTATGGATCAGGACGAGAATGAAGGTGTGAAACAGTAAGAAGGGAAAGTGGCTAAATGGAGAAGTTATCCTCAAGAGCCACCAAAGTTTTAGGGAGGAAAATGATCTGCAGAAAGGAGAAGATATGTAGAAAGAAAAAGAGTATGTGAAACATTGATAGCAAATAAAGTGACATCCATAGGCAAATAGAAGGAAGGAAGGAAGAAATAAGAGAAGGTGAAACAAGAAGCACTGGGAGAGTGAATCGAACAAAAGCAAAGTGAAGCAGTGCAGAACCACATTATTATACCCATCTGGAAAGGCAGCCCATCATGGCACACAACAAATCTGGAAGGAACACATCCACATGGAAAGTGTATAAAAGGTAAATACCTGCAAGATCTGTAAAAACGAACAATGTGGGACAGGCCATCCAAAAGTCAGAGACCAAGAAGACAGAAGACCCCCAATCCAAAAATCATGAGAGGAAATCCACATGACAAAGAACAGTGGGTTGATCAGGGGAAAACCTTGGACCGAGAAACCAACAATGGAAAAATTCCAATCGAGTTGAGAAAGGAAGGGCGAAGGAAACGAGTCAGAAAGGAGGCTAACCATCAGACAAAGCCAGATCATTTTGCCAATGACCAGAGGAAAGCCATGCATGAAGATAGTGGACAAGAAGGTCTGGATGAAACACTGGTGACCGAAGGTGGCGAAAAAGGGACGGAGACAGAAAAGGAAAACAAAAGGATTGAGAGACCACTCCGTCGGATAAATGTTGTCTTGACAAGAATCCCATCCATGACAAGAGTGAAAGTACCAGGAACATGACACACAATGATAGGATTATCGAGCGTATGGGCCCAAAAAGAAGATCCAACATATGAATACAGAGTGATGGAGAAAGGGTGCCACCCTAGTGATTTAGATAAGCAACCACTGAAGAAAAGTCAGAATGGATCATTACCATAGAATTTCTAGTCAGATGGAGAAAATGAACCAAAATATGACCTACAGCAGGAAGCTCCATGAGAATGATAGGTTAAGACCTATCAGCCACATACCAAAAACCTGAATCTACCAGTTGATCAATGCATGCCCCCCATCCTCTAATGGATGCATCCATGAAATGTTGAAAACCGGAGGAGGAGGAGGAAGTGGGAAACCCGCTGATGAGCGAGTCACATCTAACCACCAATGCTGATTGACAACAAGGATAGGAGGAAGGGTAATAAGAGCTGACAAAGGATCCCTGCAAAATTCTACTGGTCATGAAAATCCCACAAAAGAGCCAGCATATGAGCCTGACTTAAGGGGATAAGGGCTACCATGGAAGATCGCATCCCAAATACAACATAACTTTGCAAGCTGTAATCTAACTGAAAACCCATTGAACAAAGTCAAAAAGGAGAAGGGCAGGCCTGACTGAAATATGTGTAGAAGAAAAACACCCTAATGTACAAAATATTGGATAGGTAGCAGTAAGGACTTCATCAACTTGATTAACACCCCATTAGAGCGGTCTCCAGGAGCAGCTGATAAAGGTAACAGGCAGACTCCTGTTTCGAATGAGTGAATGGTAGCCAGTCAACCAAAAAAAGAGGAAAGTGCAACATGAGAGCATATAAGTGATGAATGAATGCTCTGAATGCCCGACAAAACATATAGGGCTGAAGCAAGTACGAAGGGCAGTATGCGAAACAGAGAAACCACATCGAGGAGAATAAACTGAAGAGAAAGTCATGAGTGATGAAATATTGGGATATGCAAATAAGCATTCACAACATTCCTCTTTGTCATGGTAAACCTGTAGAAAAAGCCCACCTAAAGGTGAGAAACTACTCCAAAGTTAAAATGGGGCAGAATGAAAACTAGAATGAGATGGGATAGTCTCTGGTTTTGTGCAAGGACAACAAAGAGCCTGGAATAAAAGCCGGGAGAAATATGATGAACAGGCCTGTAAAGACAGAAAATCTTGTACCGCCTCGGACAGACGCAGTCTGGTGGCAGGATCCCAAGTCATGGGGAAGGAAAATGGTACCAGGAATAAAGGAGGTGGGGAAAGAAATAGTAGGACAAGTCTTTGTGATGAAACCCAAAGAGGCCATGGAACTATAGTGAAAGATTGCCAAAGGGTAACAATATAATATTGTCAAGCTCCCACTGGACTGGAACGCTCTGGTTAGTCTCCAGTACTTTTGGCAACATGCCCATCAATATTGAATAAAACAATGAGTTAAGAAACCCCTGAAAGGGGGACAGGGACAGGTAGTTGAGGACCAGAATGGGAAAGGAATAGGGACATATCATGGCTTCAACTGTGACAAACGTGCAACCAAAGAGGAAAGGGTCAAGTGTTGATGCACAGATTACACACAAGATTCCAAAGTCTCAGATACATAATTGAAGACATATCACCAAAGAAAAAATACAGAAATACTAAAAAGAAAGAGGCAGCAAACATAACCAGGACAAGGTCACATCTCAAACCAGAAAATCCCAACTACAGTGAAACCACATGTGCAAAGTGAGAGCCAAGGACAACAATTGAGCAAACATGGAGGTAATAAGATATGATAGAAAAATGTGGAATTGGATAAAACATAACATACCTGAGAACTCATGTGAAAAAATTCCATATTATGCCTAGCTGATTCTGCAGAAGCGGTAAGGAAAAACATGGCTAAAAAAAGGCTATCAAACTGTCATTGACCTGAACAGGTTTGGCTTGTTCAAGAGAATTAGTGAGGCAAGTTCAGGAGAAGAAGACTGACCCAAATAACAATCAATCTCCTGATGGATAATATCAGAGAAATCTAATGAAAGGTGGAGCCTGTGAAAATAGTCCTAGAGATATAACACCCAAAGTGGGAACATGAACCTCAGAATTCACTGTAGAAATATGTAAGCCAAACAAAAGTGTTTGACGTAAAATATGGATGTGTGAGAAAAATAAATAAATACTGGGAAATTAAAAGGTTCCTTGAATGTAAAAAAAAATAATAATGAAGAAACCCTAATTTGGAAATTAAACTATTAAAATCACAATTCACACAAAAAGCACTGAAAGAAAAAATGTCTAAACACAAATACTACCAAATGAGAAGCGATAGCTTGGTAGAATTGAATAGAGGGAATCACATGTGTCATCAGAATATGTTGCACTCTTATTGGTGAAGGGTTGATGCAAGATGATTTGCATGAGAGATGCATTGGAATCAGTCAGTTCCAATGGAGGGTATATAGAAGGCTTGGAGCAAGTGTAAAACTTTTGCATATAAAGGGCAGCAATAAACAAGAATAGCTATTTAAGTGTTTGTAGTTAAGCATAAAGCTACAGAAAGGGCTATCTGTGCTCTGCCCACCACAGGTATCGAAACCCAGTTTCTAGAATAGTAAGTCCACAGACGTACCACTGTGCCACTGGGCAGCTTATTTAAGTGAGGAGAGGTAATGTACCATATCGGAATACCACATTACCTAAAAACTAATAACCAGAAATAGCTGGAAAACACCATATCAATTAGTAAGTGAAAACCACTATTAACTCAGACATTCTAGATAGATTGTTAATACAATCTATAAAACAACTTTTGAAAATCATTTATAGCAAAGTTTATGATAACAGAATTTGATCACAGTAATTGTATCATACTTGATACATAAAATATTTTATCACAATTATTTATTTATAGCTAAAATTACAATAGCTTACTTTTTATGTGTAATGTATCATTTCAAACTCATATACAAAGTATAAAACAACTGGGCTGTGAGAACTTTCATACCAATTTTCATGTTAAAGAAAGTCTCGCTTCTAAGGATTATGAGATGGCTGAGTTACTAAATTCTACTTTTTCTTCAAGTTTTACTAACTGCAAAGCTTAAAGAATGATAAGGCTCTTGGGCCAGATAACATTTCCTCAAGGGATTTAAAAGAGGTTAAGGACTGGATAAGTGAGCCAAATGCTAATATTTTTTGTAACTCCTTAAAATATAATATTAAATATTCAAGACAGATATGTTCCTTATAGAAAAAATTATGTTGGTACAAGTTAAAGACCAGACTGGATCATAAGAGTATAAGGGATAAAATTACTGTGTGTAAATTGATAGCTATGATGGGAGATTTACAGGATTACAAAGATCAAGAGAATTGGTGAAACAGGAAGTTAAAAAATAGAAAAGGGCATACGAAAACTTTACTGGTTAAAAATGTAAAAATTAGAAGAACATCTTTAAATACATCGAGAGTACACAAAATATTTGAGTGGAAGTAGGTACTTTAGGGGTGACAAAAGAAGGCTCATTTCTAACGATTATGAGATGGCTTGGCTACTCATTTCTACTTTTGCATTTTTCAATTTTTACTGATGAAGATTTAAGTAGCATCCTTTACCCCAAACATTAATAAAGGCATTTAAAGAAAAGATAAAATAACTTAATTATGTTGAGACCTAGTTGTTGAAATGATATTATAAGTAGGTCAGTAGGGCTGAATGCTAGACTTAGGTGAATATGCAAGGATGAGCAGATTGGCTGGAAGGTAAAAGAAGACTTGGCATTTGATATGAAAAATGAAGAGAAAACCAGAGGCACAGAATCATGCTTAAAACAAAAGAACTCCAATAGTTTTCTGGACCAGTGTTCTCATGTCAAAACTGCATAGAAACAACCTTCACAAAAAATATTTATGTCACTAAAGACTGTGAAAGAGTGCATGACATACTCACACATCACACTTAAACTCCCCTAAATTTACTGAATCCACTACATCTAAAGGCAATCCATTTTAAAGGCCAAAAACACTGTTAGAAAAATAAAACGGTCCTAGCTCAAGAAAATTCCTACTTTGCCAAAATTTATATTTCTGTTCCATAGTTTTACCATTCTCATAATTAAGTAAAAAAAACAACAATACATTAAAACTATCAATTCCATAGTAGCCTTCATTCAAACCCTTTCTAATAATTCAGCATCTTTATTTTAAGGTAAGGGGCCCAAAACTGAACATAATACTTCAGGTGAGGCATAAAGTGACCTATACAATGAAATTACATTCTCTTGTCTTATATTCAATATTTCTATAAATACAACCTAAAATCCCATTTGATATTTTTCTTCCATAATGCTCTTAAGGTTATTCCCATTGAAATTATACTTATAATTCAAATTATGACAACCCCATGCATTACCTTGCATTTCCTGTAATTAAAATTTAAAAGCCATGGCCATTTAGCCTTCCAACTCGCAAAATACTATTAAAGTTAAAACTTTTTGCAATGCAACAGCATCTTCATCACAAACAGCAACACCTAAAATGTTATTATCACCAGCAAATTTAAGCAGCTTATTGCCTATTCTTTCATCTATGTCACTAATATAAATAAAAAGGAGCAAAGGTTCTAACACTGAGCCCTGATGCACTTTACTTGTGATGTTATTGTTAATCCAATTTAAGTGAACTCCATTTATAATAACTTTCTGCTTTCTTCTATCCACCTATTTTTCTTACTTCTATACAATGTGCCAACTTATCCCACACACACCTAGAAATAATTTTTAAATAACTTTGTTATGTAAAACCTTACTAAGTTCTTTCTGAAAATCCAGATATACCAAATATATAAACTTACCCTCATCTAAATAAACAGTAACCTATTGAAAGAATGCCAAAGGATTATCAAGATTTTCCCCTAGTGAAACATGACTATCCAACAAAATATTAATTGGTTAAGTGAGTTTGCAAAATATCTGTGGTTAGATTTTCAAAATCTTTGATGTAATACTAACACTAATAGAATTATCTTTATCACCTCCCTTAAGGCTTAAGTTAAACAGGTGCAACATTACTGTCATTAGTAGACCTCCAATCTTTTCACACCTGGCTATTATACAAGAAAAAATATTAGGAAGTAGCTCATGTATCCTATCTTTAACCATCTTCAAAACCTGTACCAGGAGCTTTATTATTCTTGAAAATTCTTGTTTTAACAATAACAAGCTCAGATTTAATATGATCATCTTGTTTCATCTCGTTTCCATCTACTGATCTAGCAACTGATTAGCATAATAATAATAATCTTATTAATAAGTTATCACACTGGTTGTACTGTGTAACATTAACAATAAACACCAAAACATCAAAGTAACTACTACGGTCCACTATTTCAGTATTTGTAACAGAATAATTTAAACTGAAGTGACTAAAGTCAGTAATCAATAAAACTCCACCATTTCATTTTCAGTAAAAGTTTCATAAAGGCTACGTAGACCAGTATAGTCTAAGAGCCAATATTTTAATGTCATTAAACCTACTAAATTTCTGACAAGTGTTAGACCAAACCTTAAAATTTTCCCATTTCGTATGAGCCCTCTCAGTCAATATACTATTGAAATACTATAACATTCGCTGGATACTGTGTATTCTATATATTCTATGTCTCAGTTATATATTGTAGATGGTGGTTCCCCACGCTGGTTAATAAATTATGATTTGATATTTTTTTTAGTTTTCGTATAGTCATTTTATTTCAATAATAATGATAGTATTTTACTAGTGTATTTTAATTTATTAAAATTATTAATGCCTTAACAAGACTGTATTACTCTATGAATAAAACTATTTTGTGAATGTGATTGGTGGAGTTTGTTATAAATAAGGGGTTCAAAATTTTGCGTAATTATTCAGCTAGTGATCCATTTAATTAAAGAAAACTGAGAGGAAAATCTTGTAGCAACAGCTTTTTTAGAGAAGAATCGAACTTTAATGGCAACAGCTGTAAGAAGACAACAGACATTTATCCTTTTTTCAAAACTCATAACATATTGTTCTCTACTTAAATACTGTTACGTCTCGGTTCGTTAGTTAATTTTCCGTAAATTCGTTCCGAATTTCTTAAATAAAACTGGTTTATTCTTTCTGAATATAACTTTGCGATACACTCAATTTCAACAGTCGCGCTATAACAAACATCTCACGTGCTCGACTTCAACAATACTCAATTCAATTACACACTCTCTGACTACAGTTCAATTACTCACTGTCTCACGTGGCCAACAATATTTTATCCGCTTACATTCAATTACTCATTACCTCTCCGTCGCTTCGTGGCCGTTCTTATATATATATACAAGACAACACTATATCTAGAAGGATCACGAGATTTAAGGAAAAGACGTGAAAGTTCGAGAATGACGTGGCGTGATACTAGTCACGTGACCTCGATGTCGTAACAATACTTTAGCCTGGTAAAACCTTCAGTAAGAGGGCCGAAAGCTCACAATTAAAAGAAACTTATTTAACATAGAAAACAGACTGTATAGATTTTTTTACATACAACAGGTGTTTAATACTTGAACGTTTCAGACTATTTGTACTCCATCTTTAGCAAGCTATGTTAAACAGTGTGCAAATTATATCTAATTTATTCTTCAGATTCGCAATCCATTCAAATCTAAAGACCGATTACTTACTCTTATGCATTGGCAACAGTTACAGATGTGAACCTGCGAACACAAAGAAGTATCAAGAAAAAGCTAGAAAACATATCTCACATCCTCCAGACTCCGAAATTCCTACGCACAGAGAAGGAAGCAACCACCCGATTTTAATTAAAATTTCCAGAACTATTTCATCTGGATTGTTAAAGTTTTAGTTAAGAGAGCCTATCCATTGCAAACGAACTCCTAATTCTACATAATAACACAACTTCAGTTAAGTTTGTTGTAAATTACTTTTTTTTTAGCCCCGCGGCTGCTTACGACATAGGACACTTTATATGCTAATATACTATGGATGATTTTTGTTTAAATTTACCTTGAGGCACCCATATCCTCTTCAGGAAGCTGTTCCTACTAAGCAGTGAAAGACTAGAAGGAAGGCAGCTAATCAAAACCGACTCTTTACATACTCTTGGGATACTCTTTTACCAACGAATAAGGGGTTGGTCGTCCCTTTATTTCGCCCTTTTATACAAAACAGGTGTGTATGTGTGTTTTGATGAACAAATGCTCAAAATAACTTATGCAGACCACAGTAACAACTTGTACATATTTATCATATCATACACTACCTTCTCTGTTTCTACTCGGGCATTTACTTAATAACTAGTCCATGCATGTAGACAATAATATTTTGGCCAATACTGTATATAATGACCATAAACTTGTGTAACACAACATAAATGTATATATATATCTATATGTATAGCGTCATATATATATATATCAACATCTAAATCATTATGTATATTTATAGTACCGACCATACCACCTGATGTACGTAACCAAGGCAATCTAAGGTACCACTTCCGCCAGCAATGTATTGATGGATATTCTACCCAACTCCTATCGCCATTAATGAGACCGTAAACTTGACTTCTTTTATCAGCATCATGAAATACATGCAGCAGCAGAAATCATCCAAACTATTTAGCTAAAATTAACCTAACTTGGAATAATATATGTGCCGTACAATACAGCATACATCGACATGGTATGTATGCAGGCCAACACAATAATCAATAATAAAGTATATTTAACTTTTATAGATTACCATAAGCTTCAGCAGCTGAATTATTGTCATATCGTGCCGCCTAGCATCATAGGAATTACACAGAGAGATAATTAAATGAAACAACGACTTTCCTCATGATTTATCACAGCCAGATTTGTCTCTTTTTTTTTAATCGTGAACAGGTCTGATATACTTATATGTAAAGTTTGCCTAGATTTTACACTTCCATACAAACAAGCAACCTTTGGTTGGTTTGGTTCATAATATTGCTAGTAATAATTCCCAATCATGCCAACTATAATTATCCTAGGCACTACATATAATCACATCATCTATCATAACTATGCCATAATCAACTGGACACAACACTATGTAACACCATTTAAAAAAGCTCTAAAAGTAAAGGTCACATATTACTATTCTTTCAGCTTAAAGACATTTATAAAAATCCTGGCAATCATCTCCAGTCATGCAAACTTTTAATGTTCTGGGTATTATATTTATTAACATTAATTATCCTAACTGTCAAGTGACCATAAACGTCAACTCGCCAATTTCTCTATGGTATTTTGAAAAATAAGGGTCAAAATTCCATTTCAGCAAGTATCTCCAGTCTTATAAATTGTAGGTGTTTTAGATGTTATGTCTAATAATTTCAATTGTCCTAACTTCATTATAATTGTGCAGATATCCAATTCTGCCCTGAGAACATCTCACAATGAAACCTCAAAGCTTGTAAATAAAGAATTCTACTGCCTATCACTCATTGGGTTTTTACGCAACTGAACATCACAACTCCATTATAATCAACTGGGTATAGACGTTCTACTGTGAAACCTTACCTAATAACTCAGAAAGCAAAGAATATTACATCTTATTGGCTGTCCACGAGTAGGTAAACTAACCATCCTAAATGATGGCCATAATGATCAGGAGTTTGATGCTGTAATCGTGATTAATCATTAGACCTGTCTTTTCGCTCCTCTACTAATATTTTCTCGTTCAATCTTCGTGTGTGTGTATATATACGACTAGCAACGTTATAATAACCTATTTCACTATTCTCAGCGTCATTTTACTCATAAATCCTCTAATTCCTCATCCTGTCAGTTCACGAGAGGTCCATCAGTGATACATGTCTTCATTGTGTCAACATCTTCAACGCCCTTTACGTGTGCCACACGACTTTTGCAGCTTAAAATTTATTGACTGAATTATTTGAGAATGTGGTTAGGACCAGTCCAGCCAGAGTTGAGCTGCTTTTGTTCATAGGCATACGCCAAATCCATATCCAGTCTCCATACTTGACCTCTGATTTCTTTACCACCTTGTCTTAACAACACTTCTGCTATAAGTATATGGGTACATTCCAAGCAACTGACATACACATTCATATGCATCAACTAACATTAACCACTCTGCACATTCCTGTTAACACTGTGGTACGTATGCATTAGAAGTGAGCCACATATCGCTCCCACAAGGAACTCTACTTCTTGGTTAAACATGGGAAAGTTTAGAAAGTAACTTTGCAAGGACCAACTTGAAAGGTAATATTATCCATTCTGCCGAATCGCTAGAGATGAGTTGATATGGCAAAGTGCACATCTTCATCACACCTAACACTGTTAAAATTCTCTCTTTGGTCCATGTTAATTTCTCCAGCTGCTCTGAGTTATGCTATCGATTGTTTAGCAAAAACACCAGTGTGACAGATTAGTCTAATGTGCCAACCAACACACAGACTTCAGTTCATCTAGTGAAATAATCAATAACAACCAGCACATGTCAAATGCCCAGCCATATACAGGATTATTCTCTGCAATATAAACCAACAATTCTTTCCCAGTTTCTACTTTGCCCAACATACACAGTATGGTGATTGCACCATCACTCAACACATTGACACGAATACATCCATAAAAACCCTTTTTCATGCTGGCCCAGCATAACCTTTACTATAGCCCTAGTTTAAACTTATAATAGGCCCCTTAAACTTAGTTCAGTTTTTTTGAGAACTTTAAAAAGGTTAATATACCGAAGAAATAAAATAAAGTATAGAATCGATCAAAAACAACAATTCTATAATACATTAAAAATACGAAAAATATTTAAAACGTTTTGGCTCCACTGGTACAGTACACCATTTGCACCAGTACTGTCTGCATGTTAATAATTGTTTGAGGCCTGGTGTATTTGCTTTATTTAAAGATTTTAGTATTTCCTGCTCTATGGGCCAGAAGTAACATCATGTGGTTAGAGGCAAAGAAGTACTTGTTGAGTTATTCTTGCAATGCAAGATGCAGTTAATAATTGCCTTGGCGTGACGCTTTAACAATATGATGTAGTTGAAAAAGATCTACTGTATTCCTTGGTTCTTGTTTGACAACTGCAGTAGTTTCTCTTGTACATTTCTCCATTATAGAATTGATCTCGTTTCTTTACGTTTATCTGATGCTGATTCCAAATGAGCAACTTTGTGATCTTGGTTCATCTCCTTTACTTACACTTACGCTTCTAGTAGAACAGAAGTGCTAACAGAGTTATTACAGGAGATTCCTTTACTCATTACAAATCCATGCCCTCTAATATCCGTCTGACAGTTATTGGGCAGTACGTGTCTGCATCAATACAGTCTTGGACTACCTTAGGATGTTTTCTGTAGCTAAGTATTCCGTGGGCGGGGTAAAGAAAAACAACAGTTTTTGAGCACCCCTGATTATAAATTTTAAATCAAAATTACTACCAAAATATTGGATTGTAGAGAAGGAGACAGAAAACATGTATAACGTGTGATTGAAATAATATACTATACACTCTTCTAATTCTTGAAAATCCCTAAGAAACAATAATGTGCAAGTTGCATATTGATAGATCTCTGTACAACCACGTGTGTATTTTTCGTGTTGTTA